GAGGAGGAGGAAGTGGATGAGGAGGAGTGGGGAGGGGGACAAAAAGGTGTGTGTGTGGGGGTAGTGTGGGAGGGGGTGTCCACTCCACCCCCTTCCTCCCTCCCCAAACCACACATACACACACACAGACGCGCGCGCGCACACACACTAATCGAAGCTTTCAATGTCTGACCCGGGCGGTCATAAATTCACTTGTATCGGAGGCCGGTGTGAGTAGCAGACAGGGGGAGATAACCAGGTTACGCACGTGCGTGGGTGTGTGTGTGGGACTGCGGTGAGGGGAACAGGTGGGTTACTATAGATAGATAGATAGATAGATAGATAGATAGATAGATAGATAGATAGATAGATAGATAGATAGAAAGATAGATAGATAGATAGATAGATAGATGAATATGTGTTTGTACGCGGAATTCTGTATATTTTTGAGTGTGTCGGTTCACACGCGCGCGCGTGTGTTTGTATGCTGATTGTTTGTCTCACTAGCGAGTTACCGCAGTTGTACGTGTATTTATTGTGCGTTGAATCAGATCGTGAGAGGTGTCGCAACCCCATTGATCTGCATGCGGTGTTTGTGAGTTTCTACAGTACATCATTGTCACTATATAACTTTGATTCAGTTTTTGACTCTCTGTGTCCCCAGTTATACAACTGGCATACTTGTTATCGGCTCCACCACAATTAATTTGTTACATTCTCTCTCTCTCCCTCCCCCCCTCTCTCTCTCTCTCTCTCTCTCTCTCTCTCTCTCTCTCTCTCTCTTTCTCTCTCTTTCTCTCCGCTATGTCAAGCTGTGCAGTCAATTTTCTCCATCTCTCTAACCCGATCAAATGTTCGCGTGCAGTTATCCCGCTGAGATGCTGTGATTATCGCCAGGTTAACATGCACACTTATTATAGTGTTATGTTTCATTTGTCGTATTATTTGGAATACTTCTGGGTTTAAGCAGGATTTTGTCGAACCTTTGCCAGAATAAAAGGATTTTGAAAAAAGGTAAATATTTATTAAGTCACGGTCGAAGTATCGAATGTAAAATCTTCCGCGAGGTTTAAAGGTAGAAGATTGAGCGACGGATTAGGGAAAGAAAGAAAAAAAAAGGTATGTGATATGAGTAAATAGCTGAGTGGGCGAAGAGAAAGTGCACCAAAATAGATTTCACATGCACGCGCGTGTGTGTGTGTGGAGAAACAGCGGTTTAGAGCGGATTTGTTAAGGTATTATCATGCAACATTTGGTCGTCTGTTCTGTGGGAAAATCCCAGTTATCGAGATTGTATTGCATGTATCACACGGGGAGCTTGTTCATGTTCTTTGTCATGTCTATCTACCTATCTATCTGTCTGTCTATCTATCTATCTATCTATCTATCTATCTATCTATCTATCTATCTATCTATCT